AGGGTACTCGGCACAGAGGAGGGAGCGAAACAGGGGGGGGGCAGGCAGCCCAGGAAGGTCACCGCCTGCCCAGTCTGCGTGTCTAAATGGTTAGCAAATGCAGCTTATATACACTGGGGGTGGGGCGGGGGTTAGTAGAGACAGTTGCCAACGATGAGGCGGGTGGGCAGTGTGCAGGGAGCTCAAGGTCGTGGAGGACGGAGTCCCAAGCACAGGGACCAGCCCAGCTCCTTCAAGACATTCCCCCAGCTCGAGTGCTGACTGCAGGAGTCCGGGTGCAAAGCTGACCTTGGAATCATCGCTGACAACTCAGGAAGGCAACCCAGTGTCCAAGGACGGCCCAGGCTAAGAGGGAATGGGGTCTCACTGAAGATCAAGGGGTTCTTTCATCAAAAAAAGAAGGGCCCCGAAGGAACCTGGGGGGGGCGGGGGAAGCAAAAGGGAAAAGGCAACCGCAAAACGAAAGGGGAGCAGTTTGAAGGTGCCCAACTTCTCCGAGGGAGAAAGACCTGCCCATCTACAGGACGCCAGGCATGGAGACCCATTGGGGCAGCAACCTGCTGGGCAAGAGAGTGTGGAGAGGCATCCTCCGGCCCACCTGCCACACCTCAGCAGATGGGAGCCCCCCCCCCCCACCTCGGCCAATCTTCGTTCATTTGGGAACCAGCTCGGCCTTGTCTGTTCTCTGCACACAGAGGCCAGGGTGATCAAAGGGCCGCCTCCTGCCTCTCGGACTGTAACCTCTGCGGAAGCCAAGACTCCCCCGCCTGCCCTCACGGAGCAATCCCTGCATGGCAGGGCAGCAATTACGTCTTACAAAAACCCTTGTCCCTATCAGCCCGCTCACTGCCTAGCAACCAGCCCAGCAACCTCAAAGCCAGGAGATTCAGCCACCAGCGAGCTTCGTCTCAAGAGCACCACCCAAGACACACATGGGCGGAGCACGGAGCTCCTGGTGCACATGATGAGAAACAGAAGACCGTGCTGTGGACCGCAGGCCGCATGTCAGACCAGCAGGTGCCACTGTATCATTCCCTGGGTCACACACGGAGGGAAAAGGGACTGGGCAGCCAGCTGGCTGGGCCTCGGAGCCTCCGGAACCTGCCCTCACTCAGCCATCCCACACCACGCTCTCTGCCCCACAACGGTCCCTGTCTCAACCTTCAGAGATACCATCAACCTCCAGAAGCATGGGGGATGTATGCACATTCAGAGACACGCAGCTCATCCAGGAAAAAAAGAGGTCCAGAGAATATTTCAGAACATGCTAGAACATTCCAGAACATCTCAAGGGAAGGCATTCACCACCCTCTGCATTTTCCAGGAGGTAACAGCCCTCCTGAAAACCCCTTGCCATCCTGTTAGGGTTCACCCCACCTCTACCCACAACAGAACTCCAAAACTCACCACCATCGAGTTAATGCCAACTCAGAGCAACCCCGAAGAACAGGGCAGACGTGCCCCCATGGGCTTCCCAGACGGTCACTCTTTACTAGAGTGGAAAGCCCCATCTGGGGGTTTCAAACCGCCGGCCTTGTGGATCACAGTCCAGCGGTAGCCGCTAGGCCCCTAAGAGCTCCAGCCCAGAGGTCAGGGAATTCTGTGTATATTAAGACCTGGGATGACAAATGTCCCAACTCATGGACAGTTCCCACTTTCCCTTTAAAGCCCACCCACCATGGAGTCAATCACAGCTCTCGGATGATCTACAATGCAGGTAAATGTCCCTCCCTTGGAAACGACAGGACCAGCCCAGACCAGGGACAGGCTCACCATCATCATCATCTTCCCCTGTGCATGTGCAGCATTTCCATCCTTGCCCTGATCGACCCTGAAACACGGGAGGGTCAGGGCCGTACCGTGCACATGTTCAAACTCGGCTTGCACACACGCTTGCGTACGGGTGTTACTCGTGACCCTACAAAACGGGACCAGCCACGACTGAATCCGCTCCGGCTCCTGGGGACCCTATGTGGGTCAGCACATAACTGTGCTCTGTGGGGTCTGCAATGGCTGCTTTGGGGGGACGTCCAGCCCCAGGCCTTTCTTCCAAGCACCGCTGGGTGGACTCCAACCGCGGACCTTTTAGTCATGAGCCAAGGTGTACATTACTGCCACCGCCCCCAAACCGAGGTACCGACTCGGTGACACCCCACACACACCCCCAGGACAGGGGAGAGCTGCCATCCTTACACAAACAGAATGCCTGCTCCACCCTCCTCAGAGCAGCTGGTGGGTTCGAACCACTGGTCTTGAGCCCACGTTCCAAAGTCGCACTCTGGGCCCTACCCTGGAACGTCCATTGGGTATGCCTGGTGAGGCCCAGGCTCCCCAAGTTAAAACCGAACTGCAGCTGATTCCAACACACAGGGCCCATCTTCAGGGGTGCCCTCCCCCTCCCCCCAGTTCAGTAGGGGGCCAGGAGCCCCCAGGGTACAGGCAGTCCAGTTCTCAGGTCCAGTCTGCAAGTGGTCAGACGGGGCGGCCATGGGGACCTAGGGAGCCAAACACTGCCTGGGCGGGCCTGAGGCGTCCCCTCATCAGCCAGGGCCCAGGCTGAGTCCACCCGGGTCTGGGTATTCTGCTAAAAACTGCCCCGTCATAGGAGCACTCAAGGCTCCGGTGACAGCTGGAGACAGCATTAAGAGGTGCCGTGGCCGGAGTACAACCTGGCCTCCTCAACACTGGACGGGGAGGAGACAGACCACGCCGCCTGAGTGAGCCCCTCCGCTGCACTCCGCCCACAGGTCTGCGTGGGTGTGCCTTAGTGTCAGGGTCTTAGTGCCGCCCCCGCCCCGTAGGCGCGTGGACGTTGTTAGTGGTCTTTTTGTCCATTCTGCCGGTGCCAAGTAGCTCGCTAGGTCTGTCTGGTAGCACATCTCTGGGTGGTTTCGAACCTCCATCCTCGAGTCCAGCGCTTAACCCTTGGTGCCATGCACACGTCCTGAATGTACATTCGAGTCGTTTCCAACGCACAGCGGTTCCAGTGCGTCGTGGGGCGTGGGCTTTCGAGCTTCACGGGAGGCGATGGCAGAGCCCTGAGGCCACCGCCGCCGGCCGCTGGGACAGGCAAGCTGCTGCTCCGCTCCGCGGAGGCCTCGGTCCTGGGCAACGGGCGCCAGGTAACTACCCCACGGCCCCACGTGAGTGCGGGGCTGGTGACTAACGTGGGTCCCCCGGAGGCCTGGAGCAAGGAGTCTGGGGACTGCAAGCGCCGAGAAGCCCCAAGGGTGCAGGGGAATGGGGAGAGAGGGGATAGCACCAAAGTCCAGGGGCTCGAGAGGCAGAGTTCAAACCCGGGGTGCCCACAGCCCTGTTCATGGCCTCAGCCCTACAACCAGCCTTGGAATTGGGGGTGGGGGGGCGCAACTCTGGTCCTCGTCATGAACGTCCCCTGGTGTGTGAGCCACCGTGCCAGGTACCCCGAGGAGGGCAGAGAATGCCCTGAGCCTCCAGCAGCTGGAAGCAGGGGCCCGGCCTTCCCGACACGGGGGCTTCTCCGTCTGTGTGCAGTGGGCTGCACTGCCGGTGTCTACAGTTGGGGGCGGTCGATGGGAGGGTCAGAGAAGCCACCGCCGAGGCAGGAGCTCCCTGCGGAATCGGCCCCCAGGGCCAACCAGGCCCTTCCACCCCAGCTGCTCCCTGCCCCAGAGGCAGTGTGGAGTGCCGGGCAGGAGAAGGGGCTGACGTCAACTGGCACCCCAGTGTCCCCAGGGACTCCCCCGTCTCAGGCTGTGCCCAGGTCAGCCTCCTGTGAGCCACCAGGCTGTAGCAGGGATCAAACACGGGTGACAAACAGAAAGGGTGTTGGACGATGTTGGTGCCAGTGCCCCCGGAACAAACTGATCACAAAACCTGCCTGTATGGGGTGGGGGTGGGGGGTGATTTTCTGAGATTGGGGCACCACAATGTCTACCAAAGGTCCCTTGAATCTGCAAGGAGGGCCCCATTTTTACCTTCTCTAGGGCCACACACATAAAGGTTCCAGAATATGGGCCTTGTTCCTCCCTCAACCAACCCTTGCTCCCACCCAGCCCTGGATGGGACCCTGCCCTTCCTCCCAGCAGCCAGCCCTCCCCAGAGAACTATCCAGAACAAGGCAGGCCCTTCCAGCACCACCACCCCCAGTGCCCAGCCGCAGGAGGCACAGGGTGGGGTGGGGGATGCAAGGGCTCTGGGCCAGAGCCCTGGGCTGGTGTGCAGAGCGCACCGTCTCCTGTTCTGCCCATCTGCACCTTGCTGGGACGGTGACCCAGAGACTCTCACTAAGTGCTTCTGCACGTGAGTATAACCCGTGTGTCTCACACAAAGCTGGTGGAGGCACCTTCCCACTATGTAAACAAGTCACCTGAAAGCATCGCAGGAGAGACAATTCGCAAGGTCAAGAGTCTCCGGTGGAAAATTGAGCCTTGCACCAGCGTTTGGCCCAACAACCCCATCCCTGTTTGTGGCCAGAGGATGAGGCGGTGGGAACCACACACAGAGACCTGCCTGTCCAGCCCCGGGGCTCACGTGGAAGCCTCCACCTTGTCCACCCACAGACCAGCGGCCCACTAGAACGTGGCACGATTCACGCCACGGGGCCCTGCTTGGCCAGAGAGAATCCAAGCCCAGACACATGGCCACCTCCATGAACTTGGCCGACGCCAGGCTGATGAGACTAGTCTTGCATCCAATAAGCAAACTGATAGAAACCACAGGTTCTTAGTGGTGGGGGGGGGGGAAGGTGCTTTGTCTTTTTGTTTGTTTGACAGTGGGCTGACATTCATGGTGATGGTACATCTGGGGAAAGGACGGCGAGGACCGGGCAGAGCACTGGCAACACAGTCAGAGAGAACAGAGGCCTCCACAGCCCCGCCTGCCTCCGGACGCTGCCAGGGTCACCAGGTGGAAGGTGCCACCCCCGCAGGGACCTGGCGTTCCCCAGGCACCCCCCACAGCTCAGGAGGCCCCCTGCCGCAGCGGCAGAAGCAGCAGCCCAAGTCCCTCCAGCCACTTACCTTAAACCTCTCGGTGGCACCCTCAGTGATGCTGACCGTGAACTCGGCTATCTTGGGAGGGCGCCCCTTGCTCTTCTTGCGGTCCGGCTCATACTCGGTCTTGGTTTTCACCACCACCTTGCCCAGAAATCAGAGAAGCCAGCCGTCAGGGGTACGGCCTGAGACCTGGAGCAGAGACCCTACCCCCTGCCCCCACCCACAATGCTGCAGGGGTCTTGGAGTCTTTTCATCCGGAAAAGACTTAAAGGCTTGAAGGTAAATAAGTGGCCATCTAGCTCAGAAGCAACATAGCCCACATGGAAGAAGCACACCAGCCTGTGCGATCACGAGGTGTCGAAGGGATCAGGTATAAGGCATCAGCAGAACAAAAAATCTTACCACTAG